AGTAACTGGCCAGGTGAAGACTACTGTCACAAAGCAGAATCACAGAATTGTTTTCGTTGGAAGAGACCTTTAAGATCAAGTCCAACAATGCGCTAACGCAGCACTGCCAGGTCACCACTGAAGGAAGGATAAGCTGAGTGTGAGAGATACTGCAGTGCCATCCAGTCCACTCTGGACTTAACGGTTCCCTTTACCCAGGTTAGTAAAACTCACTTTGAGCAGCTGAAAATGTGAAAGAGAGAACCAAGAGGAAAAGTGACGTTTAGCAGGAGACATGCTAGGAGCAATGCCTCTCTCCTGACATAACACACTCCTCAAGGCAATGTTTGTAGAGTGGCCGTAGCCCACCTACAGACTCCATTCATCTTTCTGGTAAATGATATCCTGTCCTGTTAAACATAACTGAAATTAAGTAGTTTTCATGAATGGATTATATTCAGGATCTGAGCTACTTCTAAAAACAGATTCTGTTAGGGATTTTCTTCTTTGTCATCACGTGTTAATTCAGAAGCTGTAACTTGGAAATGTATTTAATGTAAAGCATAAGTATCTCTACAGCTGAAAAAAGGCAGCTGCAACAACTTGCATAACTTTAAAAAGCATTTTAATGCTCTGTATAGGGAAATGCTATTGAATAAAGTATGTAATGTCTTAAAGGTGTTTACGTTGCTCTGTTAACCTTCACCTCCTTATTCAGCAGATCGTAATACAGACTTCCTATTCTTGTTTTCTCCAATTCTTTCCATTTCTCCTTGGATCGATTTGCATATTCTCCTTTCCCCGTTTTAATTGGGAGAGACTCATGGAGTAGATGTACAACAAGCATTTGTTAATCAAGTATATGGCTTAACACCAAATATTGCATTTGCTTCCACTTGAGGTGCTCTCTTTTGACCACAAATGAATCTGATACAATGTCTGAGGTCTGGGAGTTCCTGTGTATTCCCCAATTTGGGAGTCTTAACTGGCCAGCAGAGATGACATCATCTTAGGAATCAAAGCAGGCTTCTCAAATTAGTTTCAATATACAAAGAGTGAAGTGTGAGTATTGAGAACCTCACTGGAGTAAAACCAGGTGTACCGTGTACCAGAAAGCAAGGTGAACAGTAAACAGAATTTAAAAAGTTAACATAATACAAATACAGAAAAACAGTGGTTTCTGAAAGAGTAAGATTAACTGAACAAGAAAAGCCAAGGTAAGAAAAGAAAAACTAGAGAGTGGAAAAATATTTATCTTGGCCATACACCCATCACTTAAAATAGATATGTGTAATGAAACTTAAAAAAAACATCCTTGTTTAAGCCAGTGATTTAACACACAAGAACAGAAAGAGAATCCTGCTTTCTAAGGAAGTTATTTTTTTTATAGATTTTCAGCACTAGTTATCTGTACATCCACATGGTCAGTTTTAGCTTATTACAGTTAGGAATGTTAAGCTTACTTTAAATACTGCACACATACAGAATGTAATACAGTTTGCCATGCCTGAGGAAGTAGTGCTGCAGCACTGACCTCCAGGGCTACTGACATGACTGGAGTGTATACATGGCAGTAGAAAAGCCTAAAATTCCTCATTACCCTTTCCTTTCCCAAGACAAGTTTCATTTTCATTTCTGTGTATTATTCTACTGGAGATTAGTGTCTTCTCTTTGTAGTTTGTGGTATTCCCTCATATGCAAGCATCTCTGTCCTTCCTGCCCAATGAAGTTAACAAGTATTTCACATTGCTAATGACAGCCACTCCACGGGCTTCAAGAAAGACACTTTTCAAGCATTAGTTTTAAGTACACTCTGTACTCCAACACTGATTTATGCTCATTACAGAAGAGCACATCAGACGGGCCTGTTGTTTTAATATCTGACAGGGAGTACAGCCATGATGTTTTTCACCCTAAGAACAGTGTGCCTTTTACATAGGATTTTAGAATTAAGCTGTTATGGAAGATCAGCCCACTGCAAAACGCCTCCTCACTCAACAGCCCTGAAGACCAGTCTAATGCTTACACTGAAAATGACTTGTACTTGGGGATTTTAATAAACCACCTGTTTAGTGTATTAATTTTTAGAGGAGTAACTGTACATAAATGGTATGTTCCAAGTTATGTGCAAGAGATCTGTTCAACAGATTTAGTCTTGTTTGCGAACACACACAAAGGATTTTCTGTCTTCTATTCAAGCAGAAGAGTTACAATGGTGCTTTTGCTACTAACTATGGTATGCATTTTGGGATTATATGCCACTCACATGCCTCCTTTAAGTCAGGAATGCTCTTCAGTGCTGCCACTGAAAGATCTGCTCCGGACGTGATTTCTCAGTTGCTCTATGAGCTCTGGATTCTGCTGCTGTATCTGCTGTGCAAACTGCTGCCCCCTGTGTCGAACAGTTTTAAGTTAACAAGAAGTGAAAAAAAACAACCAGCAGCATTTGTCAGAAAACAGGATATCCCAATACAACTGAAAGGTGCATTATATGGAAGTTAAGACTAAAAGATAGCTTGCTGTATAGACTTCATCAAGATATTTGTAATATTATGACTTTATCTAGTTAAGGGCTTTCCAACCAGGCTTCATTTTCATTCTTTAGGACTATTACTTCGACTTGATAACATGAAGGGAGAAGTATTACCTTATTTGGTAAAACTAAAACTTAGGAACAAATCTGCCCCAGTGATTTGCTTCCTTCTTTTTGAGAGGATCCATTCTAGTTGTTTAATGTAATCACCCCCATAGCTGAAATGCAACCTTGCATTCGGTTTTTCCAGAAATACAGTCTGTGGCTGCTAGCTCGCACTTGCAAGCCAGGTGTCATTAGTAGAAAGCAAGCATACAATTACACCTTACATCTTGTATGACTCAAGTAATGAGAGTTCCATCTCCATAACTGTTATATCTTAAAGATGTAAATTAGTAGCTGAGATTAATTCCATGTAACAGATAAGCATAACACTCATTTACTAGAGAAGGCAATTAAGTAGAACATACTACTTCAAGAATAGCCTGGCATGGTTTCTTTGTAACTTCTGCATTTTGCCCAAGTAGCAAATTATCAGGACTCCTTTAAACCACACTGCAAGTTGAAGGAATGCCACCGTTTCCATAGACCTAGGTGCAGTACCTGTTTTCTGTGAAAACAGCGCTTGGTTTTGTGGGGGCACATTCCTGTCTGTAATGTGAATTATGAATTACTTTTGCCCTGAAGGGACAACACTTAAAAATAGTTTGAAAAAGGCCAGAATGCTGAAAAAAAAAAACAAAAAAACTAAAGAAAACAAACAAACAAACAAAAAAACCACAAAAAAAAAAAAAAAAAAACAAAAAAAAACTGTATGCCCTTTAAGAGGTCTTGCTATAGAAGCAAAGGGGGTGTTTTTTGTGTAGAGTCTTCCAGATGGATTATCATTATAAAATAGCTATTGTGTATATATTGCATGTTAAAAGACTTGGGCCTTGGATTTTGTAAAACCCACTCCTCATTATACTCAGTTTGCTGAAGCCTTCCCAGTCTAAATGGAGAGGTGCCAGAGAAGAATGTGTTGCAACCTGTGCTAAGTAGATCTGTAGCTTTTCTAACGAGTGTCTGGGATATTGGGTAGTAACTTTATCAGCAGTTTGAAAGCACGTGTGGGAATACTTAAAGATTTAAAGAGACACTTTTAGTAAGTGGCATTTAGAATCTAAGAGAACCAGGAGTTGAGTCTTGAGCACACAGCTCGGTCATTCCAGTGATGGAAATGCACAAAGCAAACCAACAACATCGTGGAAAATAAATCTTCAAGTTCTCAGTTTCAGTAACGATCAGGCGTACAACAGGAACAGGCCACACAGTGTAATTGGGTTGACACCATCCCCTTTAAACAGATGTTACACAATGGTGCTTCTGTGAAGGCAACAGTTAGAACTGCCCAGTTGCTACTCACGCGTGGATCAGGCTGGACAGATCGGAGAGGCCGCCGACACCCGCAGCGGGGCCACCGATGGCGTTGGACATCATCCCCGACATCCTGGAAGAGGGAGCACAGTGTTGGCACTGGGCCACGCAGGCACCTTCCGAGCAAGGAATAAACCCTAGTTCTTTTGGAAGGAAGAGGAAGAAACTGCAGTAGTTTTGTTTACAGTAAGCAAAAATTAAATTACATTTCCAGGAATACAGCACTGTCCAGCTTTTCTCTTACTACTTCAAACCCTTAAAGACATTTGTTTTAATGGTACTCCATTTTAAGTACTTACAGTTGTTGAACTTGAGGATTCTGCATTAAGCTTGCTGCCTAGAATAGACAATACAAAGCTGACATCATAACACATTTACTACTTAGGGATCATGAAGGAATACAAGTAAAAAACAAAACACAGAATGAAAAAGCCCCCTATGCTGTATTCTGTGTTTCATTACACATCTAAGTTTATATGCACAGAGATGTACGGTCCCTAGCACAAAGAATCATTACAGGAATGTGTTTCTATGAAGCTGACACAATGTTACATGTTAAATAAAAAAGTGATTACAGATTCAGACATGAAAAATTTTACAAGATTATATTAAACATAAGAACCTCATACCAGCAAATGAAAAAAAAAAATTAAGAAAGAAAATATTTAACTTAAGATTTCCAAGGATAAAGGTTTTCTACTGGGCTTTTTGGAGAAAGGTCTGTATTTCATTGATTCCCAGCCTGGATAAATCAAGTTTGAAAACTACTATTAGTGCTAGATTATGGCCACAAAATATTGCAGAGTAAACCAGAGTATGAACTGACTTTGTACCAGGTCGTTATGGTAACCTGTGTCCTCTGTGGTAACTGCCTAACTTCTTACTTGGTAGTGAGCATGAGGTTATTCACGTTTCTCATTCATAAGATACCTCAAAAAATATATTGTGTTTACTGTAGTGTAAGGATCTATAGGGACAGATATTACAGACTACATCAGGTGATGTTTTAAAGTTAGTAATACAATTCCCACAGAAATCAGTGTCTTTATGAATACAAGACCAAGAAACACAAAGCAGTATCTGCTTACTCACTCATTTGTTAAAGGTACTACAAAACCCAGATATGTACAATATTAATTTTATTCATCAATGTATCTCCCCATATATAATCTCAAAAGTAAATAAATTGTCTTCTCTAGTTTAAAGTTGGATATAAAAAGGCAAATTCAGGTCAATTCTGTGCGTAATATAGGAGTATTTTTTTTCCCTTTCTTCCACCTGTACTGTCTATCTACAGGGGCCCAAAAGTGGAGGGTAAAAGTAACTTTCTCAAGCTCAGACAGTGAGTCAGTTTCTTTTTTTTTCCTTAAACCCACAAAACTGCACCACCAGAAAAAGAATTCATTCCTTCCTGGCTGAATGCCCTGTATTCTGTCCACTGGACCATCTTCTGAAAGCAATGGGAAGAATCCTTTCCCCATACTGAAAAGTACATCTTTGCCTCTAACAGAAGCAGACTGCCCGAGTCAGTCATGTGGCCAGTGAAGTGGTAACACAGAGTTCCAGGGCCACTGAGTCACTTGTGCCACCAGGGAACGCAATGGCTCCTTCCTTGCCCACCTCCTCTGTTACTTGGACCATAGCATCAGACCAGAAGTATTTGATCACTCTTTCATGCAGTGTATTTCCACATGGAAGCACAGGTTGATATTTCCTGTCCTAATGAAGCTACCAGAGCATCAGTAAAGTTTTGACTGAGTTATCAAACTCTGTTCTTCAGTGTTAATTGATAACATTTAGCTAAGAAGGCCATGCATGGAAAAAAAAACTGAGGGACAAAACCACAACTTGCCACTTTACTTGAAGTAAAGGAATGCTCTGTATGTTATTGATAATCACTGTTTGCACATCTCATGAAGTCTTCCACACCTAAGGAAGGATATCAGGGATAATTTAAAAGGGTGAGAACAGAAAGGACTGTATCTGCTAGTTACTGAAGACACGATTTCTTTGTATTCACTGTTAACTGCTATGGGGAGAACACAAATTTTCACCGTGCTGTTGACAGGTCTTTCACTATCACTCCATCTATGAAAACAGCATAGCTGATCTATGCACGCTGTTGTTCGTAAGTGAGACAGAATCAGTCTGAAACAAGACAGGCATTATAGAAGATTCATACTACACTTGCTCTGTGTGTAAAATGACTTGGAATGGTTTAAAGTCAGTACAATGAAAGCACTGCCACTATAATGAGCATTAAAATTGCTTGTGTTATTAAAAAAAAAGAGCTGTTCTCAAAACTTCAGTTTTAAAAACAGCATAATGTAAAGCTTGGAATATACTCACCATACTAATGAAGGCAGGATTGTTTATCAAGCTTGCCATGTCAAAACTCAGTCCAGTTCCAGTCTATAAACAAATTGCAATTGAAGATAGGTTTACCTACAAAAATCCCAGTTAAAACTGTTGTAAATAAATAGATACGGAGGTAACTTACAGGACTGGACATGTCTCTTAGTTTCTGTTCAGCTATTTTCAAATTTGACTTATAAGAATCATTCTCTGGATCAAGATCTAATGCTTTTTGGTAACTGGTAACAGCTTCTTCATATTTATTCACTGAGGTCAGAGCCAACCTGATGTGAAATAAAGAAATGCTGGGTAGAACACGAATGACCATCAAAAGATGATACATTTTCTACTCTAAGTAAAACAGTATCTCACAACATAAGTTTAGCTTGATCCCCAAGTTAAATCAAGTTTTGTTGTTGTGCTCCTAGTGCTTTGTGTAAGTGCTTGCTTTTGCAGAGCAAGATGATCCCTCAAGAACTCAGCTTGCATTGCCTGTTCCATATATATGCAAGTTTCATTAAAAAGTCCTTGGCATCATCAGGTGATTTTACTCTGTATTTGAGAGCACAAGCTGGATCCAGCATCCGTGACTTTCTGTATTAAGCTCAGGAATTCTTCTAAGCATTTTCTCCAGTGCTTTTGATCCAAGATATTACTCACAAGGCTACATGGTTAAGTAGGGTGAAGACACTCTTAACGTGCATTCTACAGCTTCAAGAAAACAAATACTGGAACCACAAGTTTAAGCATAACAGGTTTTTGTCTTGGAGTAAGTGCAAAGTTCTTGTTTTGGATCTTCAAAAGCTTGACAAATGGGCTATACAGGATAATAGTTAACATCTGTGTGGTGCTCTAAGAAACCTAGTATCAGGGAAGTCTGCTTAATATTCTGAAAAAGATTTTTCTCTAGTAGCTCAGAAGACCACCAGACAGAAGTACTACTTTTGAAACAGGATTTGTTTTCAAATTCAATTAACTACAACATTTAAAACATCCTCTTTGAGCTATTCCAGAAGTCCGTTTGGTTGCAGTGTCAATTCTGCTACTGTATTTTCAATTTATACTGACCACAGAACTAAACTGATCTTTCCCACATGTGTGAAAGAGCTGTGTAACCCACATTCAGCCATTTAGCAGTCCTGTCCCCCTCTGGAATGTGCTGAGCTACACACACCGAGTCCGTGAGCCTGTGCTCATGCCCACAAACAGACCATGGTCTTCCACCTCAGGCAAGAGGCCCCAGTGTATTAAATACCTCAGTCACAGCCATCACTCTTAGTGACAGCAAGCTCAGTAACAGAATGAAATGCCCAGAGTCTCCAGTAATGCTCCTGGAGTAACCCGTACAATAGTAACATTTTCTCTCTTAACAGCATAACTCCTGCAGCAAGAACAAACCCACACGTTCTCCCTTCTGGGCCATTAACTTTGCAAAAACAGTTTCTGACCAGACAGAAATGCAATCCAGTATTTCTGTGACGCAGTCATGTTGGTTGGTGGGGTTTTTTTGTTTGTTTGTTTTTTTTGGTTGGTTGGTTGGTTTTTGTTTGTTTGTTTGTTTGTTTGTTTGTTTGTTTTGTTTTTGTTTGTTTGTTTGTTTGTTTGTTTTTACAGAGAAAGTATGTAAAATTCTTCTTCATGGAACACAGTACAAGTGAAAACTGTGGGTGATGATTTCTTTGCTCACAATTCCTACCCAGACAATTACTCTCCCAGGGTCATGCTGGAAGTATCACTTTAACTGTCTACATGGCTCCCACCTGCATATTCCTGTGGCACTTCAGCATCTTTCTCTGACACATAAAAAGTTTCTGTCAAATTTTGAGAAAAACTGATATGCCTGCATAATGCAGTTAGAAAACACAGCTTTCTTATAAGGACTTTTTGTTGAGAAGGTGGTTTCTCCATTTATTTTTTCAGTTATTACTAAACAAGCACTGTTTCCTTATTCAGCATATGCCAAATGTATTATTATATTCATCTGCTGAATTAAGTAATGGCTTGCAGCTCAAAATAATCATCTATCAAAACAACCAGACAATCAAAAAAAGAGAAGCTCGATTGCCCAAGAAAGGCACAGTTATCTTACACCCAAAACTCTAAAATAACCTCCCTTTCCCATTAAATCAGCCTGTAGCTTCCCTACATGTCACCGAATTTAGGGGATCTTGAGTTATGCTATATGAAGAACCAATCTAAAGAGAGCTACATAAGACAAACGCAATTCAACAGCCCCTAAAATTCTGAAGTGAATTAATAATCTCAAAAGTCAGTCAGGCTACATTTGTATTAGTAAAATAAACTGTATTGTGGAAAGTTTTCGAGGGATAGAATTCCATCATCTTTCATCTTAAATGTCCACCGGCACAGTTTTGTCCCAGGCCAACAAACATTGTCCCAGGTAATTTTGGGGCATGGTTCAGAATTTAACACAGGTCAATGTAATTTAGCAACAGGCAGTTTGGATGTGGCCATAGATTTTAATCACATGCATGTGGGCCACTTTGTGCCAGCTGACCTAAAGAGCAATCCCAAGCATTTTTTAATTTGCTAGTAAGGATAGAGCCTCAAAAGTCTTATGGAACACTAAGCCCACACCCACAATATGTTTGATTATTGAAAATGAAGAGCTACACATCTTGAAATAACAGTCCTTAACTCCAGTAGATATCCCACTCAGAACATTCCTGACACTTTTTTTCAGATAGCACTCAATCAGACCCACTGCCTACAGAGCCTGTAGTGTTAATCTCTCAGACATGACAGAAGAACTATCAAAGGGACATACCTTGGCCTTGCTAAAATATCTGCTTCCAAAGAGCTACTGAGCAGAAATATTAAGCCTCCATTCCTGC